AAGGGGTTGAGGGGTGAGAGGTGTTGTTTGCGCAGTTGTGTCTGGAGTATCTGTGTGTGTGTGTGTGTGTGTGTGTGTGTGTGTATGTAGGTAGGCGAAGTGTGTGTAGATACCTATAGACCGAGAAAATCGCCGTGGCTCTTCCTTTATGGTTCTATAAGTTCAGGGAACGGTGGTCGGAAGATTGGAGACGTATACGGACGGCGATCGTTTTTCCCTTGGTTTAAAAAAATGAGGGGTACGGGTTTTCGTATTCTCGTACTCAACTCGAGTCACTCGGGTCGTTCGAGCTGAGTTGTTGTGTCAGTGTGATGAGGTCGACCGACCGACTCTTCTTGTCATGTTGGGGCGACCTGAAAAAAAGCGGGGAAATCAGCTGGCTGGTTGTCTTTGACCACTTCGCTTGGAGCCGCAGCGATTCTCCTCCAGGGGGTTTCGATCCCGGGAATCGGATCTCTGAAACCGATGGACGAGTACGTATATGTACATGCGGTATAAAAGCTCTTGCGGCGCGGCGCGGGGCTGGTGTATGCCGCGGTTGGTGTATGGCATGATCTGATCTGCCGAACTACTCAGTAGTGGTGGTGGGTCGCGGCTCGCCAGGAAGATGTATGCGAAATTGATTCAATTGAACGATATGGAATGGAGATGGATGGGGCCCGGTGGGTGCGCGGTGGTTTCAGGTTCAGTTCGCATTTCCGTGTTTGTGGGGAGAGGTTCAGCTGGGTTGTGCTGTGTTGTACGTTTTTATGCTGGCTGAGATGGTGGTGGTGGTGGTTTGTTTGTTTGTTTAGTGACTTACTGGGGAAGGAAGGTACTTTGTGTACCCGTGACTAGACCAGCTGGGTTGCAACTCGGTGAAGAAAGACTAAACTGTGATTTCAATTTCGAGGCACTGCTTGTTGATCCGCACCCGCGATTTGCTAGCAACTCCTCGTGTCTATTTGTCATGGTTGAGGAATGCTCGAATTTGAGATGCTCTCATACTTGGCAAGTGAATCGGGCTTGGATAGTCCATGGCAAATCATGAGCTGCAAAGCTGGGGACGACCCTTCCACAGCGCAAGACTGATCTAGATCAAGGGACGAGTCATGATTCCCCAGACCACACGCCTCGAACGCAGCTTCTCCCGTGCAGATAGCAATCCCGAGCCTCGAGTGCCGAACATGTCTACGAGTCAAGCAAGGCATTGGCGAGTGTACTCCCCACATGAACGAGTGTCTTCCCGAGTCGAGGTCGAATACTTCATATCGAAATCAGTCGTGATCAGTGATCCTGCACAGCTTCCAGCAGCCACACCCACGAGTCGACGATAACTCTATCCCTACAAACTCAGATTCATACTTCCACCAAGCCAAAGTCTATCTCTTGTTCACACCTTCATTATTGAGGCCCCTTCTCACTCCAAACTTCAGACTCCAGGTAACTTTGGGTGGCGTTCAGTACCTGACTTGAAGACGCTAAGCCTCTTCCAGTCTGCCACGAGGCACGAGTACTTTATCAATCTCGGGGCGTCATGGTCACCATGATCTGTCTTGGCCCGGCCATGGGATCCTGCCTGGGATTGGAGGAACCAACAATCTACATTGTGACAAACGTTTTGCCGAATTTCCCACGATTCCGCCACCTGAGATTTGGAAGGGGGATCGTGGTTCCGGTCACATGGTGGTCGTTGCGTCTAGAACCAAGCCACTAGGGGCTAAAAGAGAGTTTGGATTCGTCTCAAAGCCTCTTCGATTCGAATGGGAAGCCAGGGAAAAGCAAGGCAGCGGATTTGGATGCTAGGCCCAAAAGTGCCTGGGAACCACCGGAGGACACCCCAAGAAGGAATTCAGACCAAACTGCTGGCAGGGGCGCGATGAAGTTCAGTTACCTTGGTTGTGGTTATCGCCCACGGTGAGATTCTCCGATCTAGAGCCGTCCCAGTGCGTGGCACTAGAAAAAAAACCTTGCGTGGGCACTGAGTGGGTGTTTCGATTGATAAGCTGGGCTTCGGTTGCAACGTGTGTGAACGAGCACGTTTCAGAGTCACATAGCGTCGAAACGAGTCAGTGCAGCGAGTCGAACGTGACAGCAAAGCTTGACTCTTATCGCTTATGCTGGCTGATGGTATCCTTGAACAAGCGGATTAAATGAGGAAGGAGTCGTTGAACTCCTCGTGCTGGCAGTGCATCGCT